ACACACACACATATATTCTATTTAGCAGTCTTTTATGGCTTCTACTTTTTCTTTAAAAGCGTTTTCTTGTAATTCAATCAGATTTTTTCCCGAAATAATAAATTGCCCCACGTTTTCTTCTAGTGCTTTTATTATTACATTGTTCAGATTTAATTTTTGACCCATCTGGAATTTATTTAGATAAAAGGTGTGAAATGCGATTCCAATTTTATTTTTCTCCTAGATGGCTACTAGTCATATGAAATGCCCCTTTCACTGCATTCAGAATTTTTGTATGCTACAAAGAACTAATATTTTTTGTTCTGCTTTGACTGGTATGGTCTTCATAGGCACTTTTTAACTCTCCCAGGGTTTGTTGTTGTTTTAAAACATTTTAAAAGTTGTATCTACCCCTTAGTATAATATCCCAACAAGATTTTATCTTCACTTCATGAATTTGTCATTACTGTATCAAGCTCGTTTCAGTTTCTTTAAAGTGTACTGCATTCAGCCTTCAAATATTATGAACATTTCTCTCTCCCAGCTGTCACTACACCAAACTACATATGCTAGATTTCCCTAAATCATCTCGCTGCGCTCTTTGCCGCTCCATACACTGTCGATGTCTTCATCTAGTTACTCAAAAGTTACTATAATTACTTCAGGTGAGTACTCAGAGTGAAAGCCTAGCATCTCTATCCTGTTCCTCATCAAATGGGCATTACCCTCCGTTTAAAAGAAGGACAGGTTGTGTTTCTGGAAAATAACAGATTTTGGAGAGCTATGACAGTTATTATTTGTTGACCCTTCAAATAATCCACCTGGTGGGGGGGCAGACCTCCAAGATGCCAGCTGCGCTTGTGGGAAGTTTTTGCTATTTATTCCATCAAAATGATTCAGAAGGAAAAGGCTCATCCTGTGCTAGGTCTTGAACCCAAAGAACTGTTTGCACGGATGTTCAGCCAAGATGTGTCGCAGCCTCCATCTCAACAGATGCTCTTTGAAAACATTTCATGGCTCCCAGCAGTCAGTCCCACTGGGAGGGGGAGGCCACCAGAGCCTGCTCTGTTGGCAAAAGCGGGCCTAAAATTCCTATTTAAAAGCAGAACCAAAATATGTTTGGCTTCTGTTGTCTAAAACCTCAAGTGAGGACAAAAATAAAAAATAAAAAAATTTTACTCTTCCTCTCGGAATGGGCCTTTGGTGTTTCAGTCAGAGACAGGAGACAGCAAAGGGGAAGAAAGTCACCGAGAACAGAGGAAATTAGGAACACGGAGGTAGGAAGCTAGACACAGAAAGCTTGGACTGGGTGGAAAGGGCCTGGCCGGGTGGAGGGGAGACCCCATACTGGACCTTCTAATCTTGCCCAGGGTATCTGCAAGGTCACCTCTAGCCCTGATCAGCCTCCTCCCCTCAGCACCACCGAGCTCCGTCTGAGTCCTCTCCGACAACAGCATCGTCGGCATCCTTACTCCGCAGCACCCCTGAATCCTCCACCCTGGAACGCGCCCCTCCTCCCCTCCCACCAGGCCCCGCCCTCAGACACGCCCAAGGCAGACAGAGCCCCGCCCCTCAGCCCTCGCCCCGCCCACTCGGGCGCGCGCCGCGGGGTCAGTTCTCTTGGGCCTCAAAGCCTTAGTCCCCGACGCGAAGCGTGGGTACTCCGCCCGGCGTTCCTGTCAGATTTAGAATCCTGAGGACCTAAAAGCCCTGGCGGGGAGTGGAGAGTGGGGGGCAAGGGACGTAAAGGGCTCACCTTGAGAATCTCGGGAAGAGTGTGGGTTGCGGGTAGACAAAAGGAGCGCGGAAGAACCTGAGGTGAGGCAGGCATGGAGACCATGCGCTCCGTCTTCTCACCTTCGCGGTGGTCGTCGCCGGTGGCCCGGGCTGGGGACTTCGTGAGCTCCGGCCGCGCCACCCCCCCAACTCCCCTGACTGTATCTTGAGGTGTTTCCAGCCTCATTTAAATCAACTGGGACTTAAGTGTTAGAGGCCTCCTCAGCGTCCTCGGGTGGGAAAGTGCGCTGACCTGACCTGCGGGGCCGGAGGGGTGGGTGCTTGTCCTCCTTGGGCGTCACCCACTGAGCTATCTGAGGGATGGAAGCGCAGAAGGCCGCTCACGTGGTCTTCTCGCTTGCCCCCGACTCTGCTTCCTTAGTTCCTGTTCCTCTGGGATGGGCTCCAACCCCTGACTTTGGTATTAAATAAGGGAATGGAATTGACCAAGAAGAATGGTTATGTGGGCCACATTTCATTATAATGAATGTAGTTTCCTGAGACTCAGTCCAAAGATTTTTTTTTTAAATTTTTTTCTACAGTGTTAAGGATTATTTAACTGCCTGCCATGCCTAATCTTATACTGTTGGGTATCCACCATATTTTTACAAAAGCATGAAACTAGTGCTCGCTTTGGCATAAATATGTGGAACAAAGTATAACTACTGTTTTATGATACAACGATATTTCCATGTTACCAGAGCACCCACAGATAATCAGCAAGCAGAAAGATAAAACCTGTTTATTGAGGGTGAACTAAGTTTGAGATGCCCTGCAGAATACAGGAAGAATAACACAGTGTCAAAGCCAGGGATTTAGCACAGTGGTTCTACCACCTGCCTCATAAGCTCACGGTTCCAAGTTCAATCCCCTGTAACGCCCCCACAAAAGTGACGGGATTCTTAAGGTGTTAAACATAAACATAACGGCAATATTTAATAGCAATATATAATTCTAAGTAACAGTACAAGGAAAGAATAAAGATTATAGTCATGATTAACTGTAGTAGGATATCAAAAGATGATAAAAGTGAGGAAAGGGAAGAAACAACTTCCCAGACTTCCACTCTACACACACACACACACACACACACACACACACACACACACACACAAGATGTCACAATCCCAGCAGAGAGATGGATCAGCCTAATCTTTCTTAACAGTGTTCCTTTTATTGTCCTCTGCTTTTTGGTGACTTTGAAATGAGGCCTCTAGGCAAAAAAAAGTCTTACTATATGAAGGATAACTGCTTCTTAAATATTTCTTATTTTCCCAGAATTGGTTATTTTTCTGCTGCTCCCCTTTCAGGATGAAGGAAGATCAAGTTGTGCAGGAAGAATCAGGATTCCAAGATGAAGAGGTAAGACTAGAATGTTGAAAGATATGTAGACAGCCAGGGATTTAGCTCAGTGGTTCCTTCGCCTGCCTCGCAAGCGCAAGGTCCCAAGTTCAACACCCCCCCATACAAAAACAAACAAAAAAGATATGTAGACATTCAGTCATTCCATAAAAATCAAATTCTTTGTCTGTTAAATACTATTTCTAGAAGCTGGAAGTAGAAATAAGGCATAATTTACAAATATGTAATGATTTATTTGGCAACAGATGCTAAGATTAGCTACATAGCAACTGGTATAAAAATTTCTAGGAGGGCTTCATGAATGCTAGGCAAGCACTCCATCACTGAGCTACACCCGGGCCTGGTAGAAAAGTATTTTAATAATATAACTGGTATGGCCATATTGATACCTATACAGACTAGTATTGAACAACAGGCTGGTGTTGTTCAGATCGAGATGTGGCAGATGGGAAAATTGAGAAAACATTTTAAATAGTTCAAATGTTGTTCTACTGTTTTGGATAAAACTTTTAAAGATTTAGGAACCCAAAGCAAAGATAATTGGCTTCCCAGACCTTTGAATGTTGGTGCTTCTTATAAATATATAACATTGTGAAAACCAAAAATTGCTCCTACCTCAGTCTGCCTAGAGAAGTAGAGTTTGAAGCATGACTTGCAGTATTGAATTAACTCTTTAAAAATTATGAAATGTTTGAATATGAAGAATCAAAGGTTCATTTTTCTGTTTCATCTCTTTTAGGAAGCTCTCTTTCAAGACATTGACCTGTTACAGAAACATGGAATTGTAAGTAGTTTTTCAATATGTGCTAAGTTGTTCAATTCCTAAATTTCTCAGTATCAGCCTTCCTTAAACCTAAATAATTTGTGTGGGGGTCTGTCCTGTGCATTGTGGGGTGGTTAACAATATCCTTGGTGTTCCAGAAAAACCTTGTCCCATTGTATGAGATTTGGCTTCACTGGGGCCTGAGATGGAAGAAAAGAGGCAGACACATTCAGGATTGCACAGAGCACAAACTCTTGGGGAACTTGCTGATGAACATGTGGTCCTGGTGGCAGCAAGACCAAGTGGATCCCCTCAATTTGGGTCACAGCGAGGGTTATGACAAAAGAGACTTCATCCAAGCCAGAATATACCTGCTTTATCAGTCATTCATTCATTTATTCATTTAGAGACAGTCTTGCTATGTAATTCAGGCTGGCCTTGAACTTATGTAGTCCTTGCTGGCCTCAAACTCATGGTGGTCCTTCTACCTCAGCCTCCCAAATGCTGGGATTACAGGTATGCACTGCCCTCATAAACTCTTTCTACTGGTTTAAGAAATAGAAGCAATAAAAAATACCAGTCTTTTGGTGATGTGGTTCCTTGCATCTTCCAGGGACAGAAGCAAAACAACTTTTAAAATTTTAGAATTACTGGTAATGAAGTTCTGTAGAAGGAAGGAGCTGAACTGAGGGGGTGGATGTGTGATAAATGTGTTAGCTTTTCCACCAATCCAACTTTTCTGATGAATTCCTTGTTACATTGCCATGGTCTCTCACTAAAAATCTTGGGAAATCAGGGCAGTTCCAGAACATTTGGCAACCTGCTGGGTATGTTCTACTCAGACATTTCCAGAACATTTGGCTCCATGGTGGGTGGGTTCCACCTGGTTGCTTGTATAAAATTGGCATCATGATGGATGGAGATGGACAGGAAAGCACATGACATAGTATGGGAACCTTTCAGGATGGCATTTTATCAATCTGCTGTGCTCATTCTTTTATTTACAGAACGTGGCTGACATTAAAAAGCTGAAGTCAGTAGGAATCTGTACCATCAAAGGGATACAGATGACTACAAGAAGAGCCCTGTGCAATGTCAAAGGGCTCTCAGAAGCCAAAGTGGACAAGATTAAAGAGGCAGCCAACAAACTTATTGTAAGCAAAATCTGTTCTTTGCTGTTTTAGTTGTGAAGAGCTTCTATGAGTCTCTGTAATGTTTCTCATTATGAACATTAGAAACTATTGTGGCAACTCTGTTCTTACAGATCACAATATATTATACTCCCCATGTTAACTTTTTATCACTTTAGTTTCAAAGTAACCAGTCAGTTTTTGGAAGATTGAGGTAGGTGTAAATTACTTATTTTTTACCAAAAATTTTATTTTTATTTCCTTTTATATTATTCCATCTGTCTTTCTGTTTCTCTGCCTTTTCTTCTATTTGTTTGTTTTACCTTTCTCCTCCTTGTTTTTGTCATGTGCCCTCCAGTATACCTAAGGATGCTGTAAAAGCACTTGGTACCAAATAAGTTGTTCTCTCCTGGAAGAAGCCAATTGTTGAGGAGCATTGGGTTAGAAAAAGACTAGCAGGGTTGGGTCCACGTGTGTGCAGTTGACATAGATATGACTTCAGATGTGCTCACTGAGTACTTGAACAAAAGTAACCCCTAGCTGGGCCCACAAACTGAGAAGCTTGTGCAGCTGCCAGGCTGCTAGGCAGAAACATATATGCTTTAGACCCTAGCTTTTAGGGACCTTAGAGGTACCAGCTCTGGAAAAAGCAGTGTACAGAAAAGTGTCACCAAGTCCCCTGTCTGTGGATCAGGCCTCTTCATTTCTCCATTCCTAGGTGTACATCTCATTCCCAGTGAGTCTGAAAGCTCTCTTTACCTTTGGTTTCCTTCTTCAGAAGTGGCTGGAGAGTGTGGCAAAAGGGGCAGTGTGGTCCTAAACTCAGAGAGGATCTAGCTGAAATACTCCAGTTACTTTAGCTTATATGCAGGTCAAGTCTGCAGCTGCCAGGCTGACCTAAGAAGACCTGGAGCAGTACACAGAGATCGGGAGACTGCTTTGTTTTATCTCTGAGGCATTAGCCTTTTCTTTTGGAAAGTAAATCTTATTATTAAAGAAAACACTCCTCTTTTTTTTACAAGCATCCTGAACTGCAGTCAGAGTCTCACCCTTCCTTAGCTATAGTTGGGCCTGAGCTTGCTGCTTCCTCCCCCAAGCTCTACAAAGTTTGAGAAACTGTCATAATATGAAACAACAAAGAGGAAAACACATTCAACTACATCATGGTCCATTTGAATTAATTCCATCATTGCATCAGTTGTAGCTTATTAATTCACCAAATAAAGAATATATCAGTTATGTAAAAATTTGTCACATGAATAATGAAAACTTGAATTTCTGTGCTCCTTAAAACTTCTAGAGCTGGAAAAATAATGATGCTATTGAATGGAATCAACTGAAATATTATGCCATAAATAATATATTTCAAGATAATGAAAAGATGAAAATAAAGTGTTTGTAAATGGGGAGGGGAGGAGCGGGTGAAGGGAGGGCAGGGGTAAGGGGAAAAAATGAGAATCAAGACTTGTCATGTAGAGGTACAAGATCCCAACAATGAATGTAACTGTACTGTATCCCTAAAATGTACCAATAAACTCAATTAAAGCTGAAAAAAATAATATATTTCATTTAATCTTCATGGCTACCCTATAAAAGAAACACTGTTATTATCCCCATTTGACTCAAAAGAGGAAGCTGAAGTACAGCAAGATTTAGTAGTTTACTCCACCTCATACAATTAACAATTATTAGAGGTACAGTTTGAGCTTATGTAATGTGACTCTAAAATCTTGGTTTTTTAACCATCATCTGGAACTACCTTCAAAGACAAAGGTACAAGTGCTCACTTCAGCAGCACATATACTAAAAAAAAAAAAAAAAAAAAAAAAAAAAAAAG